GTGCTAGTGCTGCTGCTGCTGCTGCACTTACTACATTGAAGTCGGACAGCATGACTGACATCATTTCAAGCATAGACTCAAATAAGCCTGCGCAGCGGGCTGGAACGTTAACAGGTCATGTAGAATCTAGTTTACAGTTGGGCCATCTGGACAGTCGGCATTGCCGAGCTATGTCCGATGACCACTCGTCGAGCTCTTCAGAAAACTCCACCTGTGCACAGTGTTTGGGTGTGGGAACAGGGGCGGCGTGTTAAACCTGCTGCTGCCCAGCAGCTCTCTCGTTCCATCCGGCAGCACATGCGGCCACAGCTCCTCGATCAAAGCACCAGATCTTGAACTGCATGCTCTACGCTGTCTGTCCACATCCACACCTGGAACTCAAGCCTCTCCACGCCAGCCTTGGCTGCCCTGAGATTCTGCGGTGATTTGGCACAGTGGCAAATTCTCGCGAAGTCGGGTCTCTTCGGGACAGAGTCAGACATACTCAGACTGCATCTCTGCGCAGCTGCTGTCCACCCTGTGCTGTACAAAGAAAAACTTCTGTGCGCGCAAGCGGCCACGGTGAGTGCTGAGCTACGCAGGCACATTCGTTTCGGGACCGCGCGGACACACGCCAGCGGCGGGAATGCCACTTCACGGCAGACTCTCAAGTCGTGCTAAACGTCGCAGCGCCGCATGGCTGCGCTACACCTTCTATACGGCTGCAAGCTGACAGGCAGCCCTTCGCAGTGCGCCCTGGCAGAGAGGGGCGGTGATCGAGCAACGCAGTTGACAACCACAACACTTTAGAACACTTTAGGAAAGCCATCTTGCCGACAACACATCCTGTCTGATGCATGGTAGACGACTTGCACCACAGCTCGCCTTGGCATCTGAGTTCTCCGGGTCAAACTCCAGTGCTCGGCCAGCGGTCGATGTGGAACGCTGGACGAAGGCCTCCAGGAAGAGGATTCAAAACACTAAGCAGTAAAATGCTGGAGCGTCCTTCTCTGTACTCGATGGTCTGCGAGGGAACATTGGGACAGCTGCGCTCATAAAACTACACTCGGTGTGGAGGAGCTGTGGCTACATGCAACGCTCAGCCTGTTTTCTGCGCGGAACTTAAGTGTCTAGGAGCAAACGCCTGTGGACACTCTTGGCGCGCGATACATTCAGAGGGCCGGACTTTGCTAGCCGTGAAACAAGCGATTTCCAAGTGGTCATCGTGTGGAACGGAAATCCAGTCCAAAGCTGCTCGGCAGGTCGGGCCAGCACATCAAAGATGGCCTCACCTGCAGGGTTACTTGTCTTTATCCTTCTCACTCGGCGGCGGTGCTCTCGGCTGTGCTCTCTCCTCGTCGTTTTCCTTCTCGGACATGCGCAAAGCGGGATACTCTTTCGTGAACTCCTGGTCGTCGCGCTTCGAACGCGACAATTCCGTAAAGTTCAGGATGGCCAGGACGATGATGCCCACACTCGAGGTTGTTCCGACGGTTGCGAAGCGTTCCCAGCAGTTCATCTCCAAAAACATGAGGGCGATGGCCGTGCAAGAGCCGACCTGCTTCACCACGGAGTCCAGCATCTTCGCCACAAGGCCAGCTAGCCAAGCCTTGCAAACCATCAGAGACAGGACCACGACGGTGGAACTGTCCCAGCCAGCGAAGAGAGCTCCGGGCAGCACCATGACGTCGCTCAACGAACTAGGGAAGCCAGCTGTGGATTTGCTCATACCAAACAATATCGAAGAAAAAAGAATGCTCGAGCAGTCCACGTGCACCTTTTGTATGTAAAAGTTGTAATGCCCTTCGTCGTTTTTGAAGTATCTCTCCAAGGACACAGATGCGAAGCTCTCGCAGCAACACATGCCCAGGATGTCAAGGCAACCCCACCACACATCTGCCGACCGGAGCCCGTTGGCTGGCTGTGGGAGACTGCTCTGTGGCAGAGCCTGCCACACACTCCCTATTAAGGTCATGGCCGCCAGGATCCAAAGCAAGATTAACATCAGGCTGATAATGTTATTCCCCGAGTCAACCTTCCAGGTATTCCGCGTGTACATCGTAACCACACTGCACAGGCAAAGAGCAGCGACAACTTGATGCAGGACTTCACCTTCTCTGGAGATCATGTACAGTATGACACCATTGCAGATCATGGCCAGACACAGCCACTGTCGCAGCGAGAAGAACTTGTTAAAGACAACCCGAATGGCAAGTGCCAACAGGAACAGGTTCATCTGGGAGAGAATGGATACTGCATCTGGAGGGACTCGAGTCAAAGCTTTGAACTTCAAGATCCCGGCCAACTGGAAGAAGACATTGACACACCCGACTCGACAGATTGCTTTGTAATTGAAACATTTCTTCAGACCCTCCCATTGTTCAAACGCAAAGGCCGCGAGAATGCCGATGACAAAAGAGGTTATCCCAGACAGAAGCATGACAGAAGACACCGCATAAGGGAAGTCCTTTCTGCTCCGCCCCTTGGACCAGGCTTTGACAATAGAATCGTTTCCAGTGATCAGCACATATCCAAGGAAGGCAAAGCAGCTGGCCCACGTCCAGTTGTATAATGCAGGTGTCGGCAGTTCCGGTTCCGGCTGCCTCAGAGACCAAAGAGAGTGGGGGCAGTCGGGGCTTCGTGTTTCAGTTTTGCTTAATGTCATCTCAGGTCAACATGCTAGCAAGACGCGATGACGATGTCCATTCCGAAAGCCTCGCTGGCTTGAGTTGCTTCACGACTGCAGCTGGCTCTGGGATATTTCCGGGGTCATGCCCTGCAGCCCTCAAGCAACGACCCATACGAGATCTGGAACAAGCAGCGGGCCGAGATCGCCGTCGAAGGCCGCAACACTGTTTCGTCTCGTTTGCTTGGGTGGTAATTGTTCGCTAACAGCTCGCCGAAAACAGCCCAACGACCTGCAACTTCAAGCGCTAAAAACGGAACACAGCTGCCACGGTGATGTGCGCATCCATGCTGCAGCTGAGAGGCTCGGACCACCCAAAGACCTCTTCCGGACGACGATGCGCATGCGCATTGGTGGTATCACTCATTGTACGGCGGAACCAGTCGGCATCAGACCTGCATCGTCGCGAGCACGTCCATGTGACAAGACTTGAGCGAACAAGCGCGCAAATGTTTGCCTAATGTCTGATCTGTTGCTCTTTCTCTATATACTCCGCGGGACTCAGGGCTCGATTGCATACTCACACAGACTGCCGTTCAAGGCACACTCACTGCTGCAAAACTGTCATAAAAGCAACTGCCAACACCTATCCACCAAGGGCCTAAGGGATCCAGGCGCAACTCTGCAGGTAGAGGTTCAGAAGTCTGCAAGCCCATCCAGTCAACATCCAGAGCTTCGTGCACTTTCGACTGCTGCATGTGTACGTGCGCGCGGGGTATTATGCCGTTGCTGAGCTGTAGGTGCAGCTCATCGTCATTGGTGATCTTGCAACTGAAGAATCTATTGCGCCAAGCGTCTCCGACGAGGAAGCAGATCGGATGGAGCGAGCATACCGATACTCCGTCAAAGATTTGGACCTGGGCTGCTTGACCAACGGCAGTGGCTCCGGATCGCCCAATCTTAGACTTGAGATGCTCTTTCAAGGAGGCCCGGCCTGAAAAGGAAAGACAAGCAGAGCGAGCCTACACTCAGCACTGAAAACTTCGCATGACCATACATCTGGTGCAGAGCATAAACCGAGTCTGCATCGTCTCCTGGTTTGACAGTGCGCTACTACTACTACTACTACTACCACTACTACTACTACTACTACTACTACTACTACTACCACTACTACTACTACCACTACTACTACTACTACTACTACTACGACTGCTACTACTACCACTACTA